GATTATCTTCTGTGTCTGTGTTAATTGGTTTCCCTTTTCTTTGTTGAAGAGGGTCTGTGCAATCCTTCTGCCTAGTCCGCCATCTTGCTGGAACTCTATGTAGGGTTTTTTAATGACAGATTTTTTTAGAAGTAGTTTGTCAGGCCTTTGTTCTAAGACATCGCTGGGGAGACTCATTTCAGTTAGAGTGTGTTAACCATTTGCAAGATCCAAGGACTCTTTAGATTTGACTTGTTGATAGGTGCCATTGAGTAATTTTGACTCTAGTAGCACCATGTGACAGAGTAGAACTGCCCCATAGGATTTTCTAGGCTATAATCTTTACAAAAACAGGTTGGCAAGTTCCTACCCTGTACTTGGTACATTACAGGCATGATCTAATTATTTTCTAAGTTAAATGACTATGGATAAAATCATTGCTTGTGGGACTGACTAGAAAAGACTGGATGGTTAGGTGGGTAAATATAGTAGACCTGAATGTTAGACATTATTTTCCTATTTTTCTGAGAAAGTGCAGCAAGGGTGAAAACCTCACTTATATCCCAATAAATAGTTTTTATTCTTGAACTTCATTGGGAATATAAATTTACCATTTAATGTAAAGGGTGTTTTATATATGATTTTATAAGTTTACTATTACATATCTCTTTATTTGATTAAAGTTATAGTACTTAGTTTCTTTATGAATGTTGTACAGTATTTGCTTGCTGTTTTAGAATCTAATCTCTGATTAAATGGATACAGTCACCAGGATGTTTGTTAAAAAAGTGCTCATGAATTTAGCTAGAGAACTACTATGATTTTATGATCAAAATCTAGTTTTGTATTTTCCATATAAATTCAGTCAACTTATTTGTGAATATCCCTTTTATTTCAGTAAAAGGAGCACCTCGAAACCTAAAAGTAACAGATGAGACCACTGATAGCTTTAAAATTACCTGGACTCAAGCTCCGGGGAGAGTTATAAGGTATCGGATTATATATAGACCAGTGAGTGGTGGAGAAAGCAAAGAAGTTACCACTCCATCCAATCAGAGGAGGAGAACCCTAGAGAACCTGACTCCAGACACAAAATATGAAGTATCTGTAATTCCTGAATATTACTCAGGACCTGGCTCTCCACTGACTGGAAATGCAGCTACTGAAGAAGGTAGAGGAAATATGCTGAACATATAATACCTACCCAAACTTTAGACTGCAAGTGAAAATTTGGACAACTATCCAGATAATTTAAGCCCTGAGAGACTTTGTCTCAATTATCTGAATATCTCAGATTGCATTTCTTTTAGACTTGTGTTACTCAAATTTTTGTCTTATTCATGGCACTTTATTTGTGTCAGTAGAATTTGAACAGTATGATATGACATAAATACTCTTTTAAAAATAAAATTATTAAATATTCTAGTATAAGTTGAGGTATACAAACTGCTACGCGTCATTGAAACAGATTACATTTTACTTCTTTAGCAAGAGTTTTTAAGCATTAATCTATTTTTATTTAAATGGGATGATTAGGCTTGCATGACAGATTCCAATATTTGTTGCAAATTATTAATGTGTAACACGTTCTTTCATTGAAAAAAAAAAAAGAAATTCATAAATTTAATTTAATTTTCTAACTCTAAAGTTTTGTTAACAATAATTATAATATTAACAAATATTACCAATAATGTACAGTTATTGAACACCTGTATCAGATACTGTGCAGACTATTTCACATATTAACTCATTTAATCCCAGATAGATTTATGATTTAGCTTTATGAGAGTGCTACTGTTTCTCGGGTTTACGAGGCTAAAGGAGGTTAAATAATGAATTCAGAGTCAAGTAGCTACCAAGTAGTAGATCTGAGTTTGGGGACTGTCTCACTGCAGACATTTTTGTGGAATATTCTTTACAGTCAGCCTTTATCACTAAACTTCCCTCCTTTTTTAAACCTACCTAATTAGTTTTTCCTGCATGAGATTTGTTTTTCCCCCATCTGTTTTCTTCCTTTTGGAAAGTCACTACTTTACTTTTTCTCTTTCTTGTTGAATATCTAAGGCTTTTTATGCTAGACACCATAAAATGACCCAGTGACTCTTCATCTCCTTTTCCTGGTATGAAACTGACTGGCTGTTTGTATGTCAAATAGAGAGTGCTACAGGGTTGGGTGACTTGATGCTCTTCAGAGACAATATGGCCACTCTAGCAAGAAAGCCATGAAATGCCAAATGCCGTAGCTGGCAAAGGATGGGCAGCCCTTGGTGAATTGTGTGTTAGGCTGGGCCTCCTTGTGGCTGGTTCTTCTTTTATATATATATATTTTTTTCTAGAGGCAGCATCATTTTTATCATGTGACACATCAGTTTATTTCCTGGCTATTACCTTTAGATGTTCACAGCATCAGCATTACACCAATGAACCCTTTTTACTGCAGATTTTTAGAGAAATGTGAAATCTACATTGTGCTCACTAATCAATGTATGTATTTTATAGCTCTCTGTTCTGCTTTTAGGGAAAATATTGTGGTTATTTTCCACAGAAGATTTTAGCTTGTATAAACACAGGAAAGGAATCGGATGTCTTTTTCTTTGTTTCTGCTAACATGCAGAGACTGACTTAGAAATGTTTAAACACTGTTGGCTAGTCAGCAGTTAGAGTCATCATAGTCTCATCCAGGATACAAACTTGATTTAACACCCACACATATTTAAAGTTAGCAAAATAATTTTTCAAATAATTTTTATTGAATAATGAGTTTTGATGTTTGTTGTTTTTTAATCTAATGAAGTTAGAGGGAATCCAAGAGACCTAAAAGTTTCTGACCTGACAACATCAACTATGAAATTATCTTGGACTAGTGCACCAGGAAAAGTGAAGCAGTACCTCATCACCTACACTCCAGTGGCAGGAGGTGACACTCAGGAGGTCACTGTGAAGGGAGATACAACCAATACCGTGCTGAAGGGATTAAAGGAAGGAACACAATATGCCTTATCTGTGACTGCCTTATATGCATCTGGGGCTGGAGATGCCCTTTTTGGAGAAGAAACGACACTCGAAGGTAATTACTGTCATATTTTGTGGAAACCTCTGAACTTATTTGTGATTCTGCTTTTAGGAAGCCTAAAATGTTTTCAGTGAATGAAATTTGGAAACATTCAGTTTTTCCCCTTAAAGGGAATTTGTATTGAAAAACTAGTAGCTATAAAACTGTTTCTTCAGAGATGTAAAATGTAAGCAACTGAAACAATGAACATTGGCTGGGAAGCAGAAGTGTATTGGGAGCTGAGTACATAACAAGGTCATGGCTCAGAGTGTTTGGATGGCCCAAGATCACATAGCTGGTGACCTCACCCAGGACCAGATAGGAATCCTCTGCTGATTGTTAGTGAAGTTCTTTTTTTCATTCATCGTACATTAAAACACCCATAGTAGCTGGAGAAATACAAGAATCCAAGTTTCTTGTTTTTGTGCTTTCTAACTGAAAACCTCTAAAATTCAGTTCCAGGTAAGAAGTTCAAGGTTAATTCGAAGTTAATCCAAGACTGGAGCTCTTTCCTTAGTTTTCTAGAGTTAATTGTAGTGGGCCTAAATGAGAAATAGCTTCTTTATTATTGTATTTTATATGATTTATCATTGCTTTTTCTATCATTTATTTTAAAGATTTTAGAAGAAAATGAATTGGAAATATCTTCTGTGGTGTGAAATTAGTCAAAATACCCATCACTGATGGATCCAGAAACTCAAAGGATTGCAGATATTGTAATAGGCTGGCACAAGGCCTACAATAGGCAGTTCTGGTTGGAAACCTAAGGATTTAGTCAAGAATTGAACAAATAAAACAAAAAGTATATTCTAATCAAAATGAGAATGATAAAGAGTTTAATCCCAGTATTTATTGAAATTTGTATTTATAAGAGTATTTAAATAAAAGATTAGATATTAGTTTAATAATTATCAGAGAAGACCTGGTTCAGACATAGTTATGTAACTTTCATTAACCCTTCTGAGCCTCAGTTTACCCATTTATAAAGGGGTGATAATCATTACCCTCCTTTTTCTTCCCAGCTTTACTGTGGAAATCAAATGTAAAATGTAAGTTAAATTCTTTGGGAACTGTAAAATACTATATGTATATGTAATACATCAATAGGAAATAACTTAGTAGCTTTAGATCTTATATCTAAAACTATTTCTTTTGTAAGTATTTCACAGATATCGAATGGCTGTATGAAAGTATTGAAAATTATAAGAGGTAGAAACTGAAATTGCTTTAACTACAGAGACATAATCCAAAGAATGAAAGCATGTGGTTGTTACATCTGCGGCATTACCCAGTATTTTTAAGAAGCTTGTTCTTTTCTTTTGATCTTTTGGAGTTCTCATCATGTGCTTTCCACAGGCTTTCAGCATAGATCGTCCATAGTAATTTTTAAGGACAAACTTTTGAGCTTTTATTCTTTACAGAATAACCAAAGAAACCAAACTCACTGCCATTGAGTTGATTCAGACTCATAGCGACTGACCTCCTTTGGGTTTCCAAGGCTGTACATCTTTTTGAAAGTGAAGATTCTGTAGAATGGCTAGTGGGGCTAAACCACGGCTCTTTTGGTTAGCAGTCAAACGCCTTCACCACTACGCCACCAGAGCTGCTTTTTGCAGAGTAGTTGTAGGTTATTTAGATCTATGGAAATTGTCCTTTATAAGGACTATTTTAAAAATAATGTCTTTACTTTTGGCTGCATCTTTTAATCTGATATTTGTCTGTTTTCTTGCTTTTTAGAAAATTTATTTCTACTCTGTTAAAATTCTCGATTTTAAAAATCAAAGCATTTTTGGCTAAGAATAACTTGTTAAAATGCAAAATAACAAAACATATATTTTAATTTTACATCAAACTTATTTTATTGGACAATGATTTTTCTAGGACAGGTATGTAAATTGTTTGTAAGTGGTATAGAACATCTACCAGCTTGTATACATGTGTGAATACACATACACACACACAGACAGACATACACACAATCAGAAATAATCTCTAAGAGAGATATAGAGGTAAATTTTTAAAAATCCGTATTCCCTGCAGAGGAAAGCTAGATAGCTTGTAAGGTACTTTAAAAATATAGTTAAATTTGTCACTAAATTGTAATATCAGAATTGTTTTCCACTTACATTAAAATGCTTTATTACAGTGACAGATTACATAGAATGCTGCCAACCTGATTTTATTACCGTATTTACCCCATTGCATTATGTGTGGTAAGCTTGACAAATATGTGAAAGCATAGTTGTGACTAAATTAAAATAATAGGAGATTTTTGCCCCTGCTTATTCCATTTCATTTTATTATATGAACTCAGCCAAATCCACATACCATATACAGGAATAGGATATGATGGTAAATGCAGGGAGTGGAAAGCCCGGAAACAGAGCCAGGCAACTGCTTTTGAGGGCTGCTGTTATTCTAATCTGTTTTTCTCTTGGGAGAGGAGGTGGTAAGAGCAGACCCTGAAGGAATGTTTCTTTTATCCAAAGAAATGGAGTCAGCCAGCAAGAACATTCTGTAGGTTGGAAATCTTATAGATTACCTAAAGTGCATTGTAGCATTCAATTTGAAAAGAAAAAAAATTTTTTTTCCCAGTATTTAGTGTGGTCTACAGCTATGACTGACTCGAATCTGTTTCCTAGTGCTTTTTTGAAATATAGCCAATGATCAGAAAATTCCCCTGTCGCTGGAAGCAAGATTTATTAACATTGGCATTAGGAAAGCTCATGGTTGGCTCTAGTACTGTATGCAATAGAGTCACAAAGGCAGAGTTTATTACTATTTCAGATACAAACTTCAGAGGAATCTGAGCACTAACCATTAGGTTTGATTTACATCTTTTTTCTTTTTTTTTAAATCTCCTGTTCTTAAAGTAGATAGGCCTACTGTAATTACTAAAAAACTGCTAAACATGTAAATGCAATTTAAATCTGTTATCTGGTCATCACAGTTAGTGCTCAAAAAAAGCGAAACAAAACTCACTGATAGTGACCCCTCCTTGGATTTCTGAGGCAGTATCACTATGGAAGTAGATTGCCTAACCTTCCTTCTGAGGAGTGGCTGGTGGGTTTGAACCTCCAGCCTTCTGGTTAGCAGTCAAGTGCCTTAGGCACTACACTGTTAGTGCTCAGAGAGAGGAAAACTTGCTTTATTTATTTATTTTAACCTCTAAATGAATAATGCCCAATTTTATTCAGACTAACCACAAATGAATGAAATTTTTAGTTTGGGAATAATAAGGTTCTTTTTTTTCTTTGCTTTTTTTTTTTTTTTTTGAGTGTTGTTCTTTGGCAACAGAAATTATGACTTTTCAGAATTTTCTTTGTTTTAGTTGCTGTAGCAACCTGACAATGTCCTAGACATGAATGGCTTCCTACAGATCACTCAGTTGGCATTTTGTTACAATGAGGTCTTTAGCACATCACAGGAATGCTGCCTGATAGTGAGTAACATGGTAACTCTCCATGATGGTCTAAACAAGGCCTCTGTGTCTTCCTAGATTTACTGCTATCTCATAATTTGAAAATTCATATATTCTGGGTGTAACAGCTCTGACATTTCCAGAGAACTTTAGCATAATTTCTGAATAGTCATTCATATATCTTTTTCTGTGAGCTAATTGCTCATCAGAGTAAAATCTAAACCAAACTGGAGAGGTAACAATTACTGAAGAAATCCTTTTTGTTAATCCAAGCTTTGAAGTTAGAACATAACTTCATTGTTTTTAAGGGCTATGTATTCTTAAAGTAACTAAGTTAATTTATCAGTAGTGAACTTTGTCCTTTAGAGGGGTGGCTCTAACTCAGTGGTTGTAAATCAAGTGCATTTCAACATAAGCGTTATCCAGAGGAGCAGGTCTTCTGTATCTGCAGTGGAAAGTTGGATGGCTCCTGAGCTGAGCTCTAGCGGAAAATACAAATTGATTTAAAGGAGGATTTACATTACATTTTCAATTTAGCTTCTATTTTTGAAAGTGGTATATGAAACTTAATGAAAGCTGGCTGGAACAATCTATAAGATGAAACAGTTTCATTTCATTATGATTAATTTTACAGTTATCATCATTGGCTAATTCATGTTATAATTATATTTGAATTGGATGATAATTTGCTTTTCAGAAAGCAAATGGAAAAGGACTAAGGAAACATAAGAAAGTCACTTAAATGAGGCATTAGTTCTTTGGCTTGGTATGTGGAAAAAAGCAGTGCAGAAATTAACCCCTCTGGATGTTCAGATCATGAGAAACGCACCTGTCTAAATGACTTCCCACAGCAACAGCACAGAGACATGTGCAAGCAGGAACTGGATAAAATGCCTTTGGAATATATGTAACCATGTTTTATAATCATGGCAGAGATCAGGGCAGAAATGCTGAGTACCAAATTTTCAAAACCTGATAGCATTTTGTATGTTCAAACTTTTGACAGAAGTACATTCTTATTCCTTATACCTATACTGGTTATAAACTGGGGAGAATAGGTATATGGGAAAACCATGGAGATGAAATCGAAGGGACAGAAACGAAGGCGTACCTTCATTGCAGAAAATGACTCATTCGAAACAAGTGCCAGAAATTCTATGACCAGAGATAAAAGTGATATAGAAAGCTTATGTATATAGTACAAAACTGCAGAAAACAAGTGCCATGAAGATAAATATTATGTAAAACAATGCTACTTAAGAAAAAATCTGAACAAAGCCTAACAATATTAAACACACATCTGTCAATCTTGGGACAGGGAGAAAAGGAAGTTGGAGGAAAGGAGTAAAGGTGGATCCAGGTTGAGGGAAAGGTAGGGACAAAGTGGCAAAAAGTCTGCTGGGTTTCTATTCATGCCACTGTTTCTATGCCTGCTCCCCTTTGAGAAGAATGGTCATTTTTCCTAGAGAGGGGCTACAGACTGGTTTCTGATATTTTATTTCCTTATCTTTCTCTCTTTCCTATTTCCTTCCAGATACTCTATAAAACCCAATCTAACCAAATCAAACCAAATGAAAACAAGCAAAGTAATCTCTTCCCGAGTTACTGATGTCAGAAATTCCTTAGATTGAGGACAAAAATGACAATATATTAAATATAACAAAGCAAATGCCTGGCTGGGTAACACTTTGATGAACCTCATCAACAGGAAAATGTGGTCAACACTTTGGCTAAGCAGCATGTGTTGAGAGCCATTTCTGGTCAAGGCAGGATGGAGAGGAGGAGAGGGCTGGAACCTCCCATGTGTACTGTGGGATGGAGAGGATGTGACAACAAAGTCAACTTCTCGGTTCCCTCAGGATCAGCTTTGAGATCATTCAGCTACCTCAAAGGGCCATATACCTATATACTATATAAGCCATCAGGCAGTCCTGCACCATGTCACCATGTCCCATGACTTTGATTTGTTTTTGCTTTTGCCACACCTATATTATAGAATCCTGTTCCAAAGTGAAGGAACTCTGGTAGCATAGTGCCTAAGGTATTTGACTGCTAACCAGACGGCTGGCAGTTCAAACCCACTAGCCACTCCTCGAAAGGAAGCTTGGGAAATCTATTTCTGGAGTGATCCACCTTGGAAACCCAAGGAGGGGTCGCTATGAGTCGGGTCCGACTCCATGGCAGTGAGTTTGGTTTTTTGGTTTTATTCCAAAGTGAATGAAAGTGTGAGTTCTTCTGATCAGGCACATGGTCCAACTAAATGCTTTCTAGGCCTCAGAAAGGAGCAGGAGAACAAAGGTAAAAGAAAGACATGGGGGAAAGAATAAAGAATTAAAGAATTAAAATCACTGGGGAAACTTAAAAGCTCTTTAGAAAATACCAGTGTTTAGATCCATCCCCAGATAAGCTGATTAATTTGGTTTGGACAGAGCCCAGGCTTTGGCTCTCCAGGTGATTCTAGACATCTGGTCAAGTTCAGCCCAGTTTTGCTGCTGAGGGGCTGAGGGCTCCAGGGTGATGTGGCCTGCTGGTGGCCAGGTCGACTGCTTGCACACCTTGCCCCCAAACTGGCTTGGACACTTGCCAGCCCTTTTCTGACCTACTCTATTACAGAGTTGCTTCGTTTGTTTCTAATCTAATATTTGGCCAAGCCGAGATTCCGTTTATAAAAAGTTTAAGGTTATAGGTATAATAAGATTTACTTGTCATGAGCACATCATTTTCTCAACATTCTTGAGTGTAATGCAACAGATAGAATCCTTAACCCTTCTGCTTTTTGGGAAAGTTTATCAGTATGTTCGACAACAGGACAAACTTAGTGTTTAGCAATATTCTAATTTGATTAACTGATACTTAAAAAGCTTATATGAAGCAGTTTATCTTTAAATCTTGCCTTCTGGATTCAGATACCTTTCTCTTTCCTTTAGATTCCATGTTTCTTTGTTGCTAACAAGGAATACTGTAATGCCAGTGCTTGAAAATAATATTTTGTCTTTATGCAGCCACAGGCAGAGACTGTAGTTAAAGAGGACTTTTTTTTTTTCCTTTTTCCCTGTAATTGAGACCTTTTGCAGTGTTCAGTCAAATTAATATTGCCATGCTATCAACTGGAATTCAGGAATGTTATTTAGTTAATATTTCATTTGTATCTTAAAAGTCTTTTGCAGAATTTTTTTTTTTAAAGGATATTGATTAAACCTTTGCCAAGGTTCCTATTGAAAATTTACTGGTATTTCGTCCTAGCTTTACATGTCTCGAAATTATTAAAATAGTTGATTAAAACTCATGGCGGAAATATGTCTAGTGATCCAGGCTTCTTTATTTTCAGCCCAAAAACGTCTTTGTGAGTGTAATTTTACTTTAACCATAATTCTTTTCCCATTTTTTTTCTCACAGTGAAATCATTAGCCTGTGTTTATGAGATTGATGTCAGTTGTCATGGAAATAAACAATGTCACAAATTTAGCACTGTAGAAAGTATGGCGAAAAAATAGGCTGAGAGGCACAACCTTTGAGAAAGCTAAAAGCTTTGCAAATTACCTCAGTGTTAATTTAAAAGATAATTACCATATTTTAGCTAACTTTTATCTTATACGTTCATTGGAATGTTATTCATGAATATTAAACTCAATTCAAAGTCATTTTCAAGTATAATTATTTTAGCAATTCCTGACTGAAGTTTAGGAAGTTGAAGAGAAGAGGCACACATGGGAAAAGGTTGTATATTAAGAAAAGGAAAAATGTGTTGCACATTTAAAACTTAGAGAGTAGTTGTTGGGATATCAACTATCAAAACAAAAATAAAAATAAAAATACAATGGCCAAACTAAATCAACCAAGCACAGTTTGAAATTATGCTTTTATACTCATGCAAATAATGAAAACATTAAGTTGTAAATATGGCCATTTAAGTAGCAAATACAGAGTTAAAAAAGACCTCAAATGAGAATTAGCTTTAAGTTCTGAGAGAAAAAAGTATGTTCTTGAAAATAAGTATTCTTGGTTGCAGTGAAATATGTAACTAATTTCCCTCCAGAGATGAGATGTCTTGTCAGCAGTTAAAGTTATTTATAATGGAGTTAGAATTTTCCATTTGGTCTTGGGGTCTGGTAGGATGCCCAGCTCCTGTTCTATTTACTTTTTCTCTCTAAATCCACATATGATAAGTTTTTGTCCATCCAGATTTCTTTTCCTCCATTGTTATCTTTTTATGCTAAAATTTGCTTAATTATGTGTAATTTTAAGATATTCATTTTTATCTTCAATTCAAGTAAAATAATAATAGTCCTGAGAATTCATTTGTATCTTAAAAGTCTTTTGCACAAGGGGCCTTGTGAATCATTTGCTTGAATATACAACAGTTAACTGGTAAAATGTATGTTGTGAAATCAGATAGTTTTATATTTATGTCATACTGTGGCATAAACCATAGTTAAGGTAGCCAATACAAAATGACCAATAAGTTTATCTTACGTTTAAAATATGGAAAATAAGGGTTTTATTGGAAGACATCTGTGCCTCCTATTAAGTTGAGGTTTCCATATTTTTCCATTGGGATTTTCTTTTCTTTTTTTTCTGAAAGTTGAATGAAAGAGCCAATATTTAATAGCAGACACTTTTGATCAATTAAAACAAGTGGCATGTTTATTTTGATGACTAATTGTTTTTAAGTTTTCCAGAAGAATTGGTGGATTTTACTTTCATTCGAGTTAAGCTACACTGAAAGTTTTCACTCTACCTTTTTAATTGTATGTGTAAATAAAAGTTTTCAACAAAAAACTGTTGTTGGAATTCAGGTTTGCAAGTGATATGAGATTTTTGCAGTTATTATAAATAACATTTTGAGACTGAGCTTACTTAAATTAAGTAACGAGGAAAAGACCACAATAAAGACATAAAGATCCTTGGAACAATGGAAATGTCGTAAAAGGTTGGAATTTGGGTACTTTTTGTTTTGGCCTTCGGTCAATTTTTTTAAGGCATTTACTCTTTGAAAATTTGAATATTGTTCTTCTCATGAAGGACCTTCCAATCTGTGGGGGCAAGGGTGTAGGTAGGAATTAGATATAATTCTGAAGTTTTATTTCATAACCATGATAGAATAGGGTAGCTCACAAAGAAGAAATAGTTTAGAAATGAGTAAGTTTAAACACATTGAGTTTGGGTATAACTGTGAGGATGTTACCAGAATGAGTAAATATTTACATATATATTAAAAACCTCACTGCTGTGGAGTTGGATCTGACTCATAGTGACCCTTCCTTGGGTTTCCAAGGCCATATCACTATGGAAGTAGATTGCCCAACCTTCTGTCCGAGGAGTGGCTAGAGGTTTGAACCACCAGTCTTCTGGTTAGCAGTCAAATGCCTTAGGCACTAATTCACCAGAGCTCCTACATATGTATTACATTTTTTTTTTTTTAAATGATTCCTCTTTCATTTCTATTTTAGAACGTGGTTCACCTCAGGATTTAATCACTAAAGACATCACTGACACATCAATTGGGGCTTACTGGACATCTGCTCCAGGAATGGTTCGTGGTTACAGGGTCTCGTGGAAATCGCTCTATGATGATGTTGAGACTGGAGAGAAAAGTCTTCCTGAAGATTCAATTCATACTGTGATAGACAACCTTCAACCAGAGACTAAATACAGAATTTCAGTATTTGCGACTTATACCAGTGGAGAAGGAGAACCTTTGACTGGAGAAGCCACAACTGAAAGTAGGTAACATCATGAATGTTTGTTGGGATCTTATTACCACTAAAACATTGTTGTTGTTGTTGTTATGTGCCGTCGAGTCGGCCCCGACTCATAGCGACCCCTCCTTGGGTTTCCGAGGCAGTATCACTGCGGAAGTAGGATTGCCCAACCACTAAAACATAGCAAAACAAAAACCACCAAACCCACTGCCATCGAGTTGAATCTGACTCATAGCAACTCTCATTGGGTTTCCAAGGCTGTAAATCTCTATGGAAGTAGATTGCCCCATATTCCTCCCACAGAGCTGATGGGTTTGAACCACTGACCTTCTAGTTAGCAGCCGAATGCCTTACCCACTACACCTCCAGAGTTCCTTTTACCTAATGGCTGTCAGCCCAAATGACAAAGTGCATATAGTTTATCCACTTGCATTTATTTTTTTGATGTAATAATTGAGGACTGAACAATTAGGATCTTTAAAAAACATGGTTTAAGTTCAGGTTAGTTTAATATCTAAAATTTATATCAAATCTGGAAATATTAAATCCCTTCCAACTACTTTTATTTCTTTCTCTTTTTTACTGGTGGAATGATTGACCAGATAAGACCCATCTAGTGAAAAGATCAAGAGTCATGGCCTCAGAGAGCAGTCAGGCACCTTTATAGCTCTATGATGGTAGGCAAGTTACCCTGCTTTCGGCTGCAGTTTCCTAATCTGTAAAATCCCAAAGCCACTGCCAATGAGTTGATTCTACCTCATAGCAGCCCCCACTGGGTTTTCAAGGCTGTAAATCTTTATGGAAGTAGATTGCCTTGTCTTCCTCCCAGCAAGCAGCTGATGAATTTGAACTGCTGACCTTATGGTTAGCAGCCAAATGCCTTACCCACTGTCGCACCAGAGCTGTAAAATAATAATGTTATTGTTTTTATGTAATAATAATAATAAAACAAAACTCACTGCCATCGTAGTCAAATCTGACTCATAGCGAGCCCATTGGGTTTCCAAGGCAGTAGGTCTTTACGGAAGCAGATTGCCCTATGTTCCTTCCGTAGAGCAGCTGGTGGGTTTGAACTGCCAACCTTCTGGTTAGCAGTCAAATGCCTTAAGCACTGTACCACCAGAGCTAAAATCTGTAAAATGGGGATAATTAAATCTTATCTCTTAGAGTTGTGAGAATTAAAAGAAATAACAATGTGCAAAGTACCGAGAAGAATGCCTAGCTACTTAGAGTTGATTAATAAGTAAGCTGGTATTGAAAATATGATTATTATGCACTCAAGACTAATTCTATGTTCTTTACTTTACTCATATTTTTTTGAAAAGATTAAATCAAAAGCTTAGTTAATTTTCTGGTGTTTCAGATTTACCTCAACCTGAATTGTATTCTTTCTTGTGAATAATTACCATCAACCTTTCATTATTTATTATCACCTGTCTAGTGAAGAATATGTCAAGATTTCTTACTTCTCTGTTCTAAAAAGTTATTTGTTAGGCAGGGATGTTCCTAAAAGTTCAATTAGAAAGAAGTGGCAGAGGAGGAGAGACGGAAATGCCAGGAGTAACTTCAGTTAAGTCCTGCATTCTGATTTCAGGTTGACCTTAAACTAAAATTGTTTTGGCAGCATTGTCTGAAGAATTCATTTTATCATCCTTGGCAAGATATGTCTAAGCTTAAATTTGTGTCAAAAATAACTAGGTTTAAAAAACCAAAAAAACAAAAAGAAAACTCATGGCAAACCCACATGTGCTGAGAACTGCATTCCATAGGGTTTTCAACGAGGATGTGACCTTTCTTTATTTAAAATTTTTATTGTGATTTGGGTGAAAATTTACAGAGCAAACTTATTTTCCACACAGCAGTTCACACACATTTTGTTTCATGACATTGACTGCAATTCTTTACAATGTAACAACAGCTCTCTTCCCACTTCCTCCCTGTAGTTACCTCTTCCCTGTCCTTCCCTCTCATGCATTCCACCCCCAGCTGTCCCCTTGTGCAAACACTGCCCATCTGTTCTCCCACACTCCAAGGAGTGTATCTATCTAATGTCAATGTTCATCCTATATACCTGTCCTTTGTTTGGCTGGGCCACAGAAGTGAGTTCAGTTCCAGACCTGAAAGGTAACTAGGGGCCATAGTCTCAGGGGCCTCACCAGGCTCTATTAGACTAGCAAACCTGGTCTGTTTTTATATCATTTTGAGTTTTGTTCCACATTGTTCTCTCACTCTACCCAGGGTCTCCTGTATCTGCCCCCGTGAGTTGACAGTGGTAGCTGGGTAACATCTTGTTCTTCTGGTTTCATGGTCACATAGGCTGAGGAACACATGATCTACCAGTCCCTTGGACTAATTGTTTCCATGTGTCTTTGGTTTACTTCATTCTTCTTTGCTCTGAATGAGGAGAGACCCATTGTTGTATGTAGATGGTTGCCTGCAAGCTTTTAAGACCTCAGCCACTACTCAGCAATGTAAGATGGAGAACAATGTTTTTGTGTAGTATGTTATGCCAATTGAGCTTAATGTCCCCTGTGATCATGGTCCCAAGTCCACAGGTCTAACTACTTACTCCCTCTGGGTAGCTGGCGGTGGCCAAGAAGCCACCACAACCTTGCCCCTTGTCAGCTCTACTATATGCCTGGACATTCTTACAGCACATACAAATACACTTGTAGAAACATTGTCTGCTAACCCTATAAGGATGTGACCTTTCAAAAGCAGATAGCCAGGCCTTTTTTCTGAGATGCCTTCTGGTAGGTTCAAATAGCTAACCTTTTGGTTAGTAGTCAACTTATTGGGCCTCCCAGGAACTCCTAAACTCTTTATGTTGTTGTTGTTGTTATGTGCCGTCGAGTCGGACCCAACCCATAGCGACCCCTCCTTGGGTTTCCGAGGCAGTATCACTACGGAAGTAGATCGCCCCATCTTCCTTCCAAGGAGTGGCTGGTGGGTTTGAATCGCCAGCCTTCTGGTTAGCAGTCAAGTGCCTTAGCCACTATGCTACCAGAGCTCCCAAACTCTTTATAGGAAATTTAAATTTTTGAAAAGACATATTTCCCAGTCATTTACATGATTGGTTTATATGGTAGTAAAATGAAATTTTGTATCTATAATATATTATTGTTGTATTCAGTTTAAGAGCTTCCTATTTAAGACTTCTCTATTTCTTGCAGAAATTAACTTGCTGTAAAGAGAAGCCATGTTTGTAAACTTAGATCACATATGGCACATATAGTTAATTTGTACAACTAAAGACACAACTCAAGTTATTGAGAAATTATATATATATATATTTTAAAAATTCTCCTTCATGAAACTTCTTTCAAATGTTTGAAACTTCAGATAATTATTTGTGATTGAAAATCTCCACAAGGGGTACATTATAACCAAAAACAAGTATGTTAACAGAAAACATAAATTTTCATCTTTTGGAAGCTGAGCTTCTAAGAAATTTTCAAGTGTTTTTTGGCTGATTGGTTGACTTATTGGTCAATGAACAGAGAAGCCTCTTTTGAACTAGGAGCAGACTTATCAGGAATGAAATGTTCATATTTTTAGAGTGAGTATGGAAACTTAGACAGACTCAGAAGAAGGAAGAGGCCTTCCACTTCTCGAAGAATTGGCCAGTGAAAACCTTATGAATAGCAGTGAAACAGCGTCTGATATATTACTGGAAAAATTTATGAACAGCCCTGAAACATTGTCTGACATAGTGCCGGAAGATGAGCCCATCAGGTTGGAAGGCACTAAAAATTTGACAGGGGAGGAGCTAACTCATCAAGGTAGAGACAACCTTCATGATATGGATAGAGTAAAGCTTTTGGGACCTCCATTGGCTGATGCGGCATGACTCAAAATGAGCAGAAACAGATGCAAACATCCATTAATAATTGGAACATGGAATGTACTAAGTATGAATCTAGGAAAATTGGAAGTTGTCAAAAATGAAATGAAATGCATAAAGATCAATATCCTAGGCATGAGTGAGCTGAAATGGATTGGTTTTGGCCATTTTGAATCAGACAACCATATGACCTACTCTGCTGGGAATGACAAACTGGAGAGGCATGGTGTGGCATTCATCATCACAAAGACTGTTTCAAGATGTGTCCTGAAGTACAATGCTGATAGGATAATATCCATGCACCTACAAAGAATACCAGTTAATACTATCATTATCCAAATTTATGCACCAACCACCAAAGCCAAAGATGAGGATATTGAAGATGTCTACCAACTTCTGCAGTCTGAAATTGATTGAACATGCAATCAAGATGTGTAGATTATCACTGGTGACTGGAATGCAAAAGTTGGAAACAAAAGAAGAGTCACTGATAGTTGGAAAATATGGCCCCAGAAATAGAAATAACACAGGTGATTTCATGATAGAATTATGCAAGACCAATGGCTTATTCATTGCAAATACCTTTTTTCAAAAACATAAGCAATGACTATATATGGGAACTTCACTAGGTGGAATACACCGGAATCAGATTGACTACATCCATGCAAGAGGCAATGGAGAAGTTCAATATCTTAGCCAAAACAAGGCCAGGAGCTGATTGTGGAACAGACTATCAACTGCTCATATGCATGTTCAAGTTGAAGTTGAAGACAATTAAAACACATCCACGAGAGCCAAAATATGACCTTGATAATATCCCTCTTGAATTTAGAGACCATTTAAATAATAGATACATTGAACACCAATGACTGAAAACCAGAGGAATTGTGGGATGATATCAAGAACATCATCCACGAAGAAAGCAAGAGTTCATTAAAAAGACAAGAAAGGAAGAAGACCAAAATGGATGTCAGAAGACACTCTGAAACTTGTCCTTGAGTGGAGAGTAGTTAAAGCAAATGGAGGAAATGACAAGCTAGAAGATCTGAACAGAAGATTTCAAAGAGCAACTTGAGGAGAGAAAGCCAATTACCATAATGAAATGCACACAAAGACATGGAGTTAGAGAACCAAAAGGGAAGAACATGCTCAGCATTTCTCAAGCTGAAAGAACTGAGGAAAAAATTTAAGCCTCAAGTTGCAATATTGAAAGATTCTATGGGCAAAATATTGAATGATTCAGAAAGCATTAAAAAGAAGATGGAAAGAATACACAGAGTCACTGTACCCAAAAGAATTGATCCATCTTCATCCATTTCAGGAGGTGGCATATGATCAAGAATGAATGGTATTGAAGGAAGAAGTCGAAGCTGCACTGAAGGAATTGGTAAAAAACAAGGCTCCAGGAATTGATGGAATACCTGTTGAGATGTTTCAACAAATAGATGCCCCACTGGAGGCATTCACTTGGCTTTGCCAAGAGATTTGGAAGACAGCTACCTGGCCAACTGACTAGAAGAGATCCATATTTGTACCCGTTCCAAAGAAAAGTGATCCCACACACTGTGGAAATTATCGAACAATATCATTAATATCACACACAAGTAAAATCTTACTAAAGATAATTAAAAAATGGTTGCAGCAGTATATTGACAGAGAGCTTCCAGAAATACAAGCCGGATTCAGAAGAGGACGTGGAAGAAGGGATATCATTGCTGATGTCAGATGGATCTTAGCTGAAAGCAAAGAATACCAGAAAGATGTTTACTTATGTTTTATTGACTAAGCCAAAGCATTCAATTGTGTGAATCATGACAAATTGTGGATAACATTGAGAAGAATGGGAATTCCAGAGCACTTGATTGTACTCATGAGGAACCTGTACATACACCAGGAGGCTGTCATTCGAACAGAACAAGGTGATACTGCATGGTTCAAAATCAAGAAAGGAGTGTGTCAAGGTTGTATCCTTTCATGATACTTATTCAATTTGTATGCTGAGCAAATAATCTGAGAAGCTGGATTATATGAAGAAGAACGTGGCATCAGGATTGGAGGAAGACTCATTAACAACCTATGCTATGCAGATGACACAACTTTGCTTGCAGAAAGTGAGGATGACTTGAAGCACTTACTGATGAAGATTAAAGACTACAGTCTGCAGTATGGATTACTCCTCAATATAAAGAAAACAAAAATCCTTACAACTGGTTTAATAAACAGCTTCACGGTGGATGGAGAAAAGATTGATGTTGTCAAGGATTTCATATTTCTTGGCTCTACAATCAACACCAATGGAAACAGCAGTGAAGACATCAGACGACGTATTGCATTGGGCAAACCTGCTGCAAAGGACCTCTTTCAAGTGATGAGGAGCAAAGATGTCTCCTTGAAGACTAAGGTGCACCTGACCCAAGCTATGGTATTTTCAATCGCCTCTTATGCGTGTGATAGCTGGATAATGAATAACGAAGACCAAAGAAGAGTTGATGCTTTTGAGTTGTGGTGTTGAAGAAGAATGTTAAGAGTACCATGGTCTGCTAAAAAGACTAACAAATCTGTCCTGGAGGAAGTACAGCCAGAATGCTTCTTGGAAGTGAGAATGGCCAGACTTCATCTCACCTGCTTTGGTCATGTTGTCAGAAGGAACCATTCCCTGTAGAAGGATATCATGCTTGGCAAAGTGGAGGGTCAGTGAAGAAGGGGAAGGCCCTCAATGAGATGGATTGACACAGTGGCTGCAATAATGGACACAGGTATAGCAAAGATTGTGAGGCTGGCACAGGACTGGGCAATGTTTCATTCTGCGGTGCATAGGGTGGCTATGAGTTGGAGACAACTCAATGGCACCTAACAACAACAAGACATGGAAACTGGTCGTACTTCAAGTAAATAAGAGAGAAGACATACATCTTTCTATATTCTACTACCATTTTGTTGGGTTTTACTTTGGTTTTCATTGTAGAAAGTAAAGAAGTTCAGAGAGTACTTTCAGAAATCTGGGCCAGGCCTGTTTTTTAAGTGGGGGATGAATCCTAAGGTATGAATAACTCAGCAGAGTTACTAGTTGTGCTCTTGATTTTTTGATATGTTTCCAAGGATACATTTTGGCAATGTTTTCAGGATTGCTTTCACCTGAAACTCAGGGACATTGTATGTAGACTGTTGATATGATGAAAACCATGACTTTTGGCCGGAAAGGTAGCAGATGAGAAACTTTCTATTTCCTCTCTAATTTATGGCAGCTGTTTTAGTAGTGATACAAAAACACACCAAACTCACTGCCATCGAGTGGGTCTGACTTGTAGCGACCCCTCGTTGGGTTTCCGAGGCAGTATCACTATGGAAGTAGATTGCACAGTCTTCCTTCTGAGGAGTGCCTGGTGGGTTTGAACTGCCAGCCTTCTGGTTAGTGGTCAAATGCCTTAGGCACTATGCCACCAGAGCTCCCTCTATCTTCTTTAGCATATGGAATATAGTTATAATAACTGCTTTAACGTCCATTTTGAGTAATTCTATCATTTCTAGTTCTGTTTCTATTGACTGATTTTTCTCCTTATATCTTTCTCTTTCTTTGCATGCCTGATAATATTTTATTGATGCCAGATATTGTGAATTTTTCTTTGTTGGGTGCTGGATATTTTTATATTCCTATAAATGTTCTTGAGCTTTGTTCTGGGATACTTTAAGTTACTTGGTATTTTGATCTTTTTAAGTTTGCTTCGAAGATCTGAAAGGCAAGACCAGAACAGCCTTTAGCATTGGGCTAATTTTGTCTCATTTCTGAGGGAATACCCTCATGAGTGCTCTAAATGATTTCCTGAGAATTATTAGGTTTTCCACTCTGACTGTTGTTGTTGTTGTTATATGCCGTCGAGTCAGCTTTGACTCATAGCGACCCCTCCTTGGGTTTCCGAGGCAGTATCACTACGGAAGTAGGATTGCCCAACCTTCCTTCCGAGGTCCACTCTGACTAGGGGGAGTATTTCTGGCCCTGTGTGAGCTCCAGGAATTATTCCCTATGCTCCTTTCACATGATTCTTTCCCTTGCCTAGTTTCTTCACACATATACACTGAGTAATGCTCAGCGAAGACTCAGGGGTACCTTCAGCAGATGTTTGAAATTCTTTCTCTGTGACACTCTCTCTTCTGCAGTATCCTGCCCTGCAAACTCTTCATTGCCTTGCACCTCCCAGACTTACAAGCCCCTCTCTTCAACTCAGGGAGAGCACCAGGCTCTGTCTAGGTTTCCCCTTCTTGTACTGGGGCTTGAAAACTCTACGCCATAGGCTGGGACAATGGTGGGCTTACATCATGTTCCTCATTGCCTAGTGCTGCTTGATGTCTGTATTAGTGGTTTAGTGCTGCTATAACAGAAATACTTTAACAAACAGATTTTTTTTTCTCTCACAGTTTGTTGTTGTTGTTGTTATGTGCCGTCGAGTCGGCCCTGACTCATAGCGACCCCTCCTTGGGTTTCCGAGGCAGTATCACTACGGAAGTAGGATTGCCCAACCTTCCTTCCGATCTAGGAGGTTAGAAATCCAAATTCAGGGTGCTGGCTCTAGGGGCAGGCTTTTTCTCTGTGTCAGCACTGGAGGAAGTCCTTGTCTCTTCTGAGCTTCTGATCCTGAACAATCTGCATGTGGCTTGGCATCTCTGTTCCCCCATCTCTGCGTCTAGTTTGTGTTCAATCTCTTTTATAACTCAAAAGAAATTGACTCAAGATATACTCTATACTAATCCTGTCTTATTAACATAACAAAGACAACCCATTCCCAAATAGGATTATAACCACAGGCATAGAGGTTAGGATTTGCAACACATATTTTTTGAGGACATAATTCAATCCATAACAATGTCCAATTTCTTGAAAATATTTCTTATATTTTATCTGGTTTTCAGTTTTTTAAAGTGGGTTTTACGTGTCTTGAACATGGAAGTTTCTTATGAAATCAGGAAAGATTCTTTGCAATGTTATCTTCAGCTTACTGTCTTTCTATAGAGAAATCCTTAAGACTTTTTTGAATGCTAAGATTGTTGAACTGAATGCAATGATCCTGCTTATAAATTCTAATGATGATGTGTAAAGAAAAGGATGTTGGCCATTTGTGGATGTTTGGCAACTTGTGACTGATATTTTATTCCTTAATGAGTGTGAAATATTAGTGTGAAAGTGTGAAAGATAATCTAATCAATAATGTTGATAGTATAGTTATCAAACACTACACACCTATAACACCAAAACCAAACCCACTGCCATCAAGTTGATTCCATCTCATAGTGACCCCACTGAGTTTTCAAGGTTGTAAATCTTTACAGGACAGGAGTAGATTGCCCCATCTTCCTTCCACAGAGAGGCTGGTGGGTTTGAACCACAAACCTTCTGGTTAGCAGTTAAATGCCTTAGGCACTGTACCACCAGAGCTCCTAACCCACATATAGTACTTGCTTAAATTCTCAACTTAATGTCAATTTATCTTTAAAATCTTTGAGATATATTTTGTGTCTCAGAGTTTTCTATTCCTTTCTGGGCATTGTCTTACATGTACATGTCAGTCATAAGGATAACACTAACTATAGTCACTTTGGGTAGTCATTTATGGGTCACAGCTTTTTCTGGGGAGCTCTGGTGGTATAGCACCTGAGGCATTTGACTGCTAACCAGAAGGCTGGTGGTTCAAACCCACCAGCCACTCCTCAGAAGAAGGACTGGGCAATCTACTTCCATAGTGATACCGCCTCAGAAACCATTGAAATTTCTAACCCTGCATTTATGGCTTTTAGTATTCCCCACAGCATTATTGGTAGAAGAATTTTTTACAGATGGAAATAATAAAATTTCTACAAACTCATCTCCGGATATTGATGTTTTCTTTTCTAAAGTCTCTAGGATGCAAATAGGAAATTCCTGCAATATGAACTTCCATTTTTTAGTTACTAGCCAGATAAAGAGAAAACATCTTTCTTAGATTTACTGAAATTAGGCTCTTGTGTCATCATGAATTCATCAGAAATTACAATGCTAAGCAAGAGAACAGTCCAGATATTTAAGAAACCACAGATAGTTTCTTTTCAGATAAATGAGGATGTGGACATACGTATTTAATTTCAGCATGGTATATATTTTAATTTTTCTTTTATCTCACAGTATCCCAAGATTCCAAAAGCTTGAAAGTGGATGAAGAAACAGAAAACACAATGAGAGTTACGTGGAAACCAGCACCTGGGAAAGTTGTGAATTACCGTGTGGTATATCGCCCCCGTGGAGGAGGGAGACAAATGGTTGCTAAAGTTCCACCCACAGTCACCTCAACAGTGTTAAAGCGACTTCAGCCCCAGACCACATATGACATCACAGTTCTTCCAATTTACAAGACAGGAGAAGGAAAGCTTAGGCAAGGCTCAGGAACAACAGGTACAAGATAATTTTTTTAAAGGATGTAATAATTCAAAGAAAGATTTTAATATGTCTCTTTCACTTGAAAACTGTGAAAGGTGATTCTGTAATAAATTAACTTTTAATTACTAGATATGATGCCTAATTAGCATATTATTTGTACCAATCCAGTTCCTGGTAAAAGTAATTCTGTGTATTAATCTTCTAATGCTAATCTGATTTTCAGAATTGTCAGAAATATTTTTACTTCCACTTGAGTGACACTCTGTTATCAGAATTTTATTGGGTATGACATCTTGTGTTACAAGATGTTATTATAAATATTGAAATTTTTAAATATTATATTTGTGATGAATCTTGCTTATATCACAGTTATTTCTATAATTTAGATTTGTTATTAAGGGGCTTGTAAGAAACCCTAAAAGCCAATTGTTCAGATAATTTTTCTTAAACTTTTTTTTATCTTTACAGCATCTCGATTTAAATCACCCAGAAACCTTAAAACATCTGACCCAACTATGTCAAGCTTCCGAGTGACATGGGAGCCTGCCCCTGGGGAAGTGAAGGGTTATAAAGTCACATTCCACCCTACGGGGGATGACAGACGACTTGGGGAGTTAGTAGTTGGACCATATGACAACACAGTTGTTTTGGAGGAACTTAGGTATGAATTAACTATATTCAAATTATGTTGAATGAATGAATAGCTTATGTAAATTAGTAGCACTTACACAAGAATCATTCATATGTCTGTTTGCCAGCAAAATGTGTAAAATTGGCTGGAGTTATTTTCTTATGCTTGGTGAAGTTGAGGTTAGGATTTAGATTTAACAATAGAATTTAGGCATGAGCAAAAATTTAAAAATTTTTTAAATGACCAAGAATGACTTCTTTTCAACAATACTCTGCATTAAAAAAATTAACACCCATATTATACAATTTCATGGAAAGCATGCTTTAGCCAAACATGTAGTAACGTGGAAGGCCCAGGTGACACACACCAGGTGGGAACTACAGTGTGAATACTCCAGTGTGAAACATGGGAGAAAGAGGGCAGGATTTTGTGTTTGGTGCCAGTTGGCAAGGGAGGGTAAGGGTGATAGGATTTAAAAGTCTAGCTAGCTTCAGCCTGTGCAATGGAAAACAATTAAATTTTAGTTTGAATAGCACTCTACATTCATTACCACAGAAGAATGAATTGCATTGCCTTTTCCGAAGTTCGTCTGTTCGACCATTCATTCAACAATATTGAAATCTATATAAATGTTTGAAATTTTGTTTTATCAGCAAGTAAAACCAAAAAACCAAACCCATTACCATGAAGTCGAATTCAATTCATGGCGACCCTATAGGACAGAGTAGAATTGCTCTATAGAGTTTCCTAGGCTGTAGTCTTTATGAAAGCAGACTACAACATCTTTCTCCCATGGAGTGGTGGGTTCGAAGTGCCAACCTTTTGGTTAGCAGCCAAGTGCTTAACCACTGTCCCACCAGGGCTCCTTACCAGGAGGAGGTATAGTAAAACTTATTGAGCGTATTATGTGCCAGGCATTGTGCTAGGTACCTTATGTTACTTTGTAAGGGAGAACATTTGTATTATTTTTCTAAAAACCCATTGCTCAGAAGCAGGAAGAATAGAGAGCCTGATCCTTCCCTGGCTACTCAGTGGCACTGTAGGGGTTCCACATCTGATAGAAAGGCAAGATAGAAACTAGTGCTGGGAACACATAGTATTCTCTGGAATCCTAGTGGCTGGTTTCCCTTGATACCTCACGTGGTAAGCATAACTAGAATATGGTGGGAATTATGTTCTTCTCTTACAGTGTTGTGCATTAAAACTCCCTCTAAGTGAAAACTAGTAAATCAAGACAAACGTTTTTAACAAAGCCAAAAAATGCTACCACTTGAGCCAATTATACGGACTATATATTTTTACATTTTAGGGCGGGTACCACCTATAAAGTAAATGTTTTTGGAATGTTTGATGGAGGAGAAAGTTCACCACTCGTTGGACAAGAAATGACGACCCTTTCTGACACAACTGTAATGCCAGTTTTATCCTCTGGTAAGAAGTTGAATTACATTCCCTTAGGAAAACTCAAGATTATGAAAGTATTTCAAATGTCAACTTTTAGCTTAGTTATATAATAAAAAGTGAGTGTAAAAAATTAGACTAAAGTTTATTGCAATTATTTATGTATTTTTTAAAAAAACAGCTTCTTCAAGCACCCTGTCAAGCACACTTTTGATACTTTTTAGGCTTCTTTTGTCATCCATTAGCTACATAGTACTGCACTGTTTACATTGAGTGTTTACTGAGGGTTGATAATGTGTAGTGTATCTCTTTGTAGTGTCTGAAATACAGTTTTCTTTCATAAAAGTAACTTTAGAAATGATTTATTTGGGTTGAGCAAACAGACTTAGATTGCATAGGTAGATGGGAAACCATGGTTTGAGACGCTAAATGGAAATATAAACCCCTTAGGTTTTCTGCTCCTGCCATGATTACAGCCTTATGTACATGAAACTAGCTTTTAACATTCTTAGTGCAAGTTGTGGACAGAGTTTACTTATAAATATTTTCCATCATTTGATAAAAATGAGTAGATCTGGGGAGAGAAGGAGCAAGCTTGAGAGGTTTAGGTGCTTGGAAAAGCATTTGGGAGTTCTCAATTCTGATTTGGTATATAATACACGAATGACAACTTTCTAGTATGACGTGTATTATTTAATTTTTGTTAATGAGTTTGTTTCTGTAATGTAAAAATCAGAGACTAACATGTCAAGAAGTTTGAAAACTTGTAGCAGTTAACATAAATTTCTGGAAAAGAGAGCATTTAAAAAATAGATATGGATAAAAGAAATGAAAGAATCAAATCTTGCTGTTTTGCATTAATGTTCCAATGTTTCTCCTATGATGATATTAACTGACTTATATTTTTATTTTGTAGCTTGTTCACTGAGGATATGGGGATTACTCTTTCTTTCCAAAGCACTCTAGCTTTGTATCAATGTTTGTGCTTCTTCCTTATCTCTCAACTAGTATATTTGTTTGTATACTTTATTCCTAAATTGTGTTTCTTCTCTCTTGGTTTTTTAAATGTGCAAACTTCACTATCTGTATTTACCTGATTGTTATACATAGTTGATGATAAAGTTAAGTGATTAATTTAATAGGATATTAAATTAATATCCTATCATTGCATCAGATTTTAACAGTCCATCTTTACTTAAAAAAAATTAATTTTAGGCCATATAGCTAATCTTTCATAATATATGTAGTAGTTTAGTTACTTAAAAAAGTATTTCAGACCCCCTAAAACACTTTCTAGTTTATATGTTTTAATCCATCAACCTCACACTTGTTGGCTAATGGCTATTAAGGATTGCAGAAAAATGCAACATATAATCTTTAGATTAAATTAAATTTTTATCAAAGTTATTAATGTCTTATAGTCAGGTGTTCATTTATTTATTACAGCTCTTTGGTTTGTGAGCCCATCTTAATTTGTAATGATGGTTGAATTCGTCTTCAAGGTTCTTTGACTGTGGCCAGGGAATGAATATAGACTAAAATGAAGGAAAGATTTGCCATGAAATAATCACTGGAGTAACTGATAATTCGTATGACTGTTGTTTGAGGCTAATAGATGTTATGGAGGTATTTTCAGAATCTTGTGCTTGAAATCAATGAGCTACAGAATTGAAACAGCTAGGTAACACTGAATACAATACTGGGGGCACAGTGTTGGGGGCAGGGGTGGTGACAGAGGTGTGGCTAGAAAGTAGACCTGCCAGTAATTTGCTCCTTACTGTGTCCTGTGTCATGATTGCTGTGTCAGGGATGGAGTGCCTGACCAGAGCTGAAGCAGACATTGTGTTACTGGTGGATGGATCGTGGAGCATTGGCCGGGCAAACTTTAGAACTGTGAGGAGTTTCATTTCTCGTATTGTGGAAGTCTTTGAGATTGGCCCCAAAAGAGTACAAATTGGTAGGTTCTGACAATATTGAAGACAGTAGTCATTTTCATTATGACTGTGTCTTTTATGTATGCTAATGCAAATGGTGTCATTTTAGCTCTTGCTCAGTATAGCGGAGACCCCAGAACAGAGTGGCAGTTAAATGCTCACAGAGACAAGAAGAGCTTGCTGCAAGCTGTGGCAAACTTACCATACAAAGGAGGGAACACTCTCACAGGTAAGTAAGGATGGGCTGGTGTTTGTTCTGCTCCTGCTTTTAGTCAAAGCATGTGGCTGAATAGTGATGTGACTGATTCTTTTTTTTTTTTTTTTACATCTCATCAGGCATGGCTTTGAACTTCATTCGCCAACAGAGTTTTAAGACCCAAGCTGGCATGAGGCCGCGAGCTCGCAAAATTGGTGTTCTCATCACTGATGGAAAATCACAAGATGATGTAGAGGCACCTTCAAAGAAACTCAAGGATGAAGGCGTTGAACTGTTTGCTGTTGGTAAGCACTGAAAAGTGTGGCAATGCTCCCGAGGTTATAGGTGTGCTGAGGATATGTTTGTAGTTAAAAAATATTATTTAAAGCATAAAAAAATCCCACATTTTCCATATCACATAAATTATCAAAATAATATGTCAGGAAGTTAATTCATTTTCTTCTAGTAATGACATAAAACTGCATGTTTTCTTGGATAAAAACTAATGGATTAAGAGGAGAAATGTACTATTAATAGGATTCAGGAAAATTCTTGTGTTTTCCATAGCACTACATTTATTTTTGATATCCATTAATCCATTATTTTGCTTTTCTGGAATAACAGTGAAAAGATATATATATATATATATATATATATATATATATATATATATATTTTTTTCCTTTTGAGTGGGAAATTGGTGCTTGAAGAATTTAGAAGTTAATTTAGAATAGCCTTCAGTTTATATCTTTTTTTATTGAGTAGTACCTAAGGCACTTGACTACTAACCAGAAGACTGGCGGTTCAAACCTATCACCCACTCCTCAGAAGGAAGGTTGGGCAATCTACTTCCATAATGATACTGCCTTGGAAACCCAAGGAGGGGTCACTGTGAGTTATAATCGACTCAATGGCAGTGAGTTTGGTTTTTGTTTTGTTGTATTATCTAAGGATGAATAATAATTTTATTTTTGATGAAAATAATATATATGTTTTAGTTAACATTGTTGTTGTTGTTGTTATGTGCCGTCGAGTCGGCCCCGACTCATAGCGACCCCTCCTTGGGTTTCCGAGGCAGTATCACTACGGAAGTAGGATTG